AATAACAGATTAAAAAATACAAAAAAATTAAAAATAACATACCTGTGTTTGCAGTAGATTCAAAGAAATTGACAGAAATTCAAAGATACGATGTGGAGACAAAAAATTGTGATTAGAGAGAATTGCCCCCCCCCCTTTCCTCCAAAACGATGAGCTATGGGAACATACTTGTGTTTCTCCAATACTGCGACTCTGCGAGAAGATGCCCTGTTTTCCAGATTTGTGGGAATTGTGAGTGAAGAGAGAATAGGTCCGCCCTGTTTTCCAGAACTGAACACACTGTGTGGAGATACAACTTTAGCACCCTGTTTTACAGTGACGATTCAGGAAAGGAAGGATGTGGAGAAAATAATGGGTTATTTTCTAATTATAGAAAAGGATAGAAGTAGCATGTTGGCTTTGGATTTGTGTTAGAATTGTGATAAATTTGGATGATAATGTGGCATGTTTTCCTTCCTAAATTATTGGGGAAAAAGGGAGATTGCCATGCTGACATGGCAACTTCTAATGTTTCTAAAGGGAATCTTGTACTTCCTCTAAAATTGCTTGGTTGGGATAATCAAGTAAAGAGAGAGCTGCTGACATGGCAAGCTCAACTATACACTAGTGGGGACCCATGCGATGCACGGGAAAATCTAAAAGATTGAATAATTTTATTTACTATTAATTAACTAACAAATTAATAATCAAAATTTGATGTTAATTAACTAAAAAGCATTCAAGTTATTGTTAATATTTAAAATTTTAATAATTACATGTTTTTATTTAATGTTGATTGATTCACATAATATATTTTTTGTTAATTTAATATGAATAAATAATTTTATTAATCATTTGTCACAATTTTAATAATTGTTATTATTTTTATTATTTCTAAATAAATTATTGATTAAATTTAAATAAATAAAAATAATTGCAAAAGTTAATCTTTTTATTAATTTCACTAATAATTAACAATTATATAGGAATGGCAATGGTGCAGGGTTTGGGACAAGTCACCCCCCCTTGTCCATACCTTGTAGTGAAGACACTCAACCCCATCCCCACTCTATCCCTAGTGTCGAGCGGGTTTAGGCCAATGCACCCACTTCCCTAGGGATGGCAATTTTCCCCATCTCCGATAAAAACCCAACTTCCCCGGTGTTTTGGCAGGGCGGGGACAGGGATTAATAGGAATCCAGATCGGGGTTGGGGGTGGGGATTGAGGTCCCCGCCCCGCCCTAACCCTGATATGTACACACACACACACACACACACACACACACACACACACACACACATATATATATATATATATATATATATATATATTATTTATATTATATATATCAAAACATATTTAAAACATTATTTATAATTTATAATTTTTATTTATTTAAAAAAATACTATTATCTAAAAACATTTCGGGGATTCGGGTCCCTACGAGGAACCAATCCCCGTCAGGGATCGAGGATGGAGGACAAATTTTATCCCCGATGGGGATGGGAGTTAATTTCAGAATCATGGTCGGAGATAGGGAATATGATCCCTGGCCCGAACCCACCCCATTGCCATTCCTACACTTCCCATCAAGGATGGGGAATCCTTGAATTTTTCCCCACCTTGTCCCTAATGTCAAGAAGGTTTTAGGGCAAGGAACCCACTCCCCATCAAGGACAGGGAATTCTTGAGTTTTTCCCCGCCCCACCCCGATGCTGGGTGGGTTCAGGGCAAGGCACCTACTCCCCATCACTCTGTCAAGGATGGGGAACCTTCGAGTTTTCCCCATCCTGTCCCCGATGTTGGAGCGGGTTCAGGGAGATGCCCCCACTCCTCGTCAGGGGTGGAAAATCCTCAAATTTTTCTTACCCTGGGGTAACCACCTAAAATAATCTAATTTGTGGTTATTTTACAAATAAGATTATGTGAATTTGAGGGTATTTTAAGAATTAGATTATAACAATTTGGGATACTTAATAAATGGAATTATGGGACCATAAGATTTTAAGAACTTGAGAAAAACTTAGAGATATTTTAAAATTCGATATTAAATCTAGGGATATTTTACTAATTTACCGTCAAATTCGAGATCAGGGAAAACTTGGGGCAAAAATATTTTCCCCATCCCTACCCCTCCTTGCCCAATCCCCATTTAAGATAGGGAAAACTTGCCCCCGTTCGGGGTGGAGTGGGACAAGGCCCCAATTTTATAGGGGAAAATTACCACCCCTACAATTATAATTAATGAAAAATATAAAGTTAACATATCAATGATTAAGATACTTAATCACTTAATAAATGGTCAGAGATTAATATATTATCTAAGTTAATATAACTAATTAATTTTAAGCTAATTAAATTATTAAATATTAAAAACTAAATTAATATAAAAATTTAATTAACCGTGTCTAAGTACATTTAATCTAACTGTAGTTTGGTAATAATGAATAAAATTAAATTAACATATTATTTGTATTATCCTAATTAATCATTTTACCCTTTAGCGTTAGTTAATTATAATGTGATTTAATTACATTTATGTGGTTAATGTGTAATAATTACATTGACATAATATTAATCAATTATCATAGCTTAACATTAAATTTGTCACCATTTAACGTTGATCAATGTTAATTTAATTACAACTAATCAGTGTGATTTAGGCTTAAAAAATCAATGTGATTTAATGATTCTCACAACTTAACCAATGCAGCATTGCGTGTAGGTGAGATGACCCGACCCGTTAAACCCAGAATCTTCACCAATGTAAAGAAATGTTTCACTTTAATATTCCGAGTGATCCGCATTTTCAAACAAAAGAGATGCCACAGTTTTCTGATAATAAATTTATTACTCAAAAAAGTTATGTAATTATTTTCAATAAATAAATAATTTTTATAATTAATTTGTTTACTATAATTACGGTAAATAAAATTTTATTTAAACAAAATTTTCAAGTAAATAGTTTATTGTAATTATGGTAAATTAATTTTTAATTTAAACAAAATTTTAAAACAAAAAATACTGTAAATAGTAAATAACATAAATGGGTCGGATATGAAATGGATATAACAAAGATATAATCCATTTTAATCATCATGTGTTACCCGCATTGCATCTACAGTGATCGCTCGAATGGGCGACCACAGTAGGTGAAGCTGGTCTAACACAGTGCGATGCATGGACCTGGTGATGATTTCCATTTCATAGTGATCATTTCCAACTAACAGAGTGCAGTGGAAGTATGCTGGAGAATATATGAATGATTCACCTGAGATGGAGGTTTCAAACCAATAGAGGTATGCTAGTAGTGATTTCCATGTGTACTACTCCAAAATCGCTCAGAGAACAATGGAGTGGAGGTGTGCTGGCAGTTCAAATTACTTGGATTGTTGAACTACAAGATAAGAAAATAATACGTTAGCAATACAATGGGGCTCCCTTGTATGCATTTTGTATGTATTTAGCAATACAGTTCCATGTTTTTAAAATTTTTGAAAAAATAATACAAATTTTAACATAAATTAAATAATATATACAAAAAATTAAAAAATATTTTAAAATTTTATTTTATATAAATTTTAATGTATACAATTGTTTATATATGTAATAATAAAATAAAATTATATATACTAGTATATTATATATTTATTATATATATGTATAATATACATATTATATATATATATTTATAATATATAAATATATATGGGTCATGTCAGCATGCGGGCCATGGGCAGCACAACTCGCTCAATCATATTGGCCCATGGATCTAAAATCCTAAGCCTGACACAACCCATACAATTGTGCCTGACATGGCTCACAGTCCGTCATGCCGAATCGTGCCAAGCTGCGAACGACACCCATGTTCCCTATTCACAGAGGGGATGGGTTGTGGGGCGGGCTCTGTGTGAGTAGGGATGTCAATGGATTGGGTTAAATGGTAAACTCGCCTGACCCAATCCTATAGGATCAGATTAGGGTAAAGTATATTTGGTTTAGGATCGGGTTAGGGTTTTGATTCTTTGACCCGAGTTAGATTGGGTTCAGGTTTTGGCTGACCCACCCCATTGGGTTATGATACTTTGCATATGTATCAAGTATTCTTATAATTTTTTAACTTATAACTATATAGGCTTAAAGTTTTTAATGTAGTTATACCTTGATTTTGATTCTCTTCATTTTTTCTTAAAATGGAAAAATAACACCTTAGAATCTATAAAACAATTTTTTTATTTAAATTAATATATTTTAGATCTTCAAAATGTATTAAAAAATACATTCAAAACTATACGGATCAAATCGGGTTAGAAACGAGTTAAACTCTATACGGTCGGATCGGTTTCGGATTAGAGTGATGGAGGCTCGGATTAGAAATTTAGAATTGAGGCAAACCCGTGCCGAGCTCGACCGTTGACATCCCTATGTGTGAAGATCCCATCCCATGTCGGTTGGGTTGACTTGCATAGTGATGACTGTGATGAGTGATGAGATGCGCAAGAGAGATGTTTAATTGGCTACCTTACGGGCTTCAGTTCAGAAAAAGTAAAACATTCGTTACATTCCAATCCAACGGTTTCCTGTCGTGATCAAATGAGGATGCCACCGCCTGTGGCCGCTGTGGCGCCCCAGGTTGTTCAATAGTTTTGGGTGGGCCCGCCGGATCCCACATTTGCTTGGTAAGTGCCAGGCTGGCAGGCTGTCCGCATCTAACCGCATTTAACTACTTAAAACTTTACACGTGGCTTATGACCTGGTCTCCACTTGTTTCTTAATCTCACAACCTTTCCCTTTTGTCACCTGGCAACTAAGTCAAGCAATATGTAACCTCCACGTGGCAGAATATTACGCGTTTTGTCAGTGGCGCGACCTGTACTGTAAGTCATCAAGAAAGGTCAGACTCCATTTATGAACCGTCCGATTTCCAGATTAACGGTCAGTGCGTCATGGAACATTGTAATAGGATAGTTCCTGAAGTACCAAACTGGAGTAATTTAACAAACAATTGGCGGAAGGCGGAAGGCGGAAGGCGGAAGACGGAAGACCAGATTCTTGATTCTTCTTTGGTTAACAGGAACAGCTGAGAGGACTTTTTGAAGCTTTCTTTGCCTGTCTGCAACCTCTCTTTCTTGTGCTCCTGCTTTATTTACTTCTTATCTTTCTTCGATGTATCTCTCTTTTACATCTCTTGAGATCTGAGTTCCTTCATCTTCAAATTTATACAGATTCGAAATATAACAGGTACACGAATATAATGATCTCTGATTTTTTCTCATTGTTTCCCCGAGATTGATAAGCATTTTGATTTTTCTGTTCTTGTGAGGATTTTATTGTGATTTGCTCATATTGTATAATTTAGTTGAGATTTGTTTTAGGATTGTTTCAGGGGAGAACTCGATGGATTTGTCAACGAGTCAACCTGAATTTGATTATTTGTTCAAGTTGTTATTGATTGGAGACTCTGGAGTTGGGAAGAGCAGTCTTCTTTTGAGTTTCACTTCCGATACCTTCGAAGATCTCTCTCCCACGATTGGTGAGTTTTGCCCTGAGCCATTTTCTCTTTCCATAATGGAATCTTCTTTTGTTCTTTTTTAATGTTTATATGGTATTTTATTTCTTTTCGTTGGATATTTATTAAAAGATACTGCAGTGTAGCTTTTTTTTTTTTTTTTTTTCTGAGTGGGTGAAGGAAATGAAAAAAAAAATTATGATTTTTCATTGGCTGGAATTTCTAAGTTCCAGCGTTATAAATCTAGAAGTGCAGATCAAGCACAGAACTTGTTACTCATGTATAAGTGTTAGGAGGTTCTGTTTTAAAAGGTATTAAGTCTTAAATGGTTTAAATTTTGAAGATTAAGTAGCTAAAGTAGTCATCTATCTATCTATCAAAAAGTAGCTGAAGTAGTCTCTTCTACATATTCTTGCAACTAGTTAATTTTTATTCGTATTACGAAGAGTAAAAATCAATTATCCGGATTCATCTAGACAACTTGATGTGCTTGAGAAACTTCTCCTGTAGTAGAGGAAAAGTTTTCTCCCCTTATGTGAGGAATGTAATTAAGACTGATGGCAGTTTGGCATTGAGATTTACATGAGGAATCCAGACTTGTGACAAATTCAACTTTTAAATTCCTCGTTGTCATGAATACATATTAAACCCTTCAATACCACATCTGATATTACTCGTACTTTTAAGTTTTATCTATCAAGAGCACATTCCATAAGTTGAAAGAGAGTTGGGATGTCAATGAGCATGGTCCCAAGACTTGATAAATTTACTTTCTTGATGTTCCGATTATCTTTGTCAAGTGATAAGTTACTGGAAAGTTATTTTTCTTATTTGGTGAAGGATGGTGCACAGATGAGTCAACCATCCAGGGAAAGTTTCAAACTTCAAATAATCTCAATATGGTTTACACCATTGAACTCCTCAGTGACAAGAGCTCAATGTGTATAGAAACATTAATACTGTTATATGGTAGGTTATACTTTACTAGTGACTACTTACGAAATTCTTTCCTCCTAGATCCTGCAATGAAGATCTTGTAAGGTGCTTCTTAGGATTTTACCTCAACCTTCTGAATCACCCTATTCTCTCTTCATTGTGACTGGAACCCCCCTACATTCCATGGAAAAATCCCAGTCCACATACAAGGATCATTATCCGATATCGGTCCCAGCTATACATGGTGTTGGCCTGTTGGGATGGATGGACTGGATATTTCTATCAGACTAGGACCTGCATTAGCTTGCTTGTCAGCCACCCAAGGTTTTACTTTCACTTTGGCAAGAAAAAGGTCAAAATTGTCTTACTAGTTTCACAATGGATGAAGATGGTTGAAAAGTTTATATGTTCCATATTTATAATAAAAGTCAGCATGTGGAGATGAATCTTTTAATCATCTGCCCTTTTGGATTGATATTTTCAAAGCAGATTCGTAGAAATTCCTTTGCCTCAACGGAAAGTAGAAGACACGCTTTCTTGTATTTTGTTAAGCACTAGAAGGATTTCTTTTTCAGTTGACTACTTTCATGTATACTAGTAACTGCTTCTGTTTGTTTCCATTATCACCTAATTTGCATTTCCTTTCCTCTTTTGGTCTGTAGGTGTGGACTTCAAGGTGAAACTAGTCAACCTTGGTGGGAAAAGGTTGAAGCTTGCAATATGGGATACAGGTAATGTTTTTCTTCTTGCATGTTTCTTAGCATTATTTTTTTTTTCATTTATAGAGTTATTTGCAATCATCAGTATCATCTCGATCAATATTGTGTATATATCATTTTTCCAAAGTAACTACTAGTGTCTCTAGTGCTTGGAGAAGAAAAATTATCTGATTTTGCAGCTATATCTTTGGGAATTGACATTTGGTACAAAGGATTTATATTATGCTGTTAAGTGGTAAAAAATGATCACATATGGAAGACAAAAAGAAGAAATTGTTAAGCATTGTAGGCTACTAGTTTAGAACCACTAGCATGGAGCATGGCATTATTATTATTTTTGTTTTTTGATAAGTGAAAGTATTGCATTAATATGAATATGAAGGGGGTCAGAAGCCCACCAAAGCATGACGTTGTCAATAAGTAGTCCTAAATTTGCTCCCAGTCAAACGGCAGTTTGGATAACTAGCATGAGCAGATTGGCACACATAGAACTGCCATGTGAGAAGGGGAAACGTCTTTATTGCTAGAGAAATTGACTCAAAGTACATATGTGGGTGTTTTTATGGACAGGTGCTGAACTAGACCCTTCTCTAGAGTACCCTTAAATTTTATGATTTGTAACATTTTCAATTTTTATGGAAGATCTTAGACTGGATAATGTTACTAAACCCATCAAGGAATTGGTGAATTTGACATAGCCAAATAATGGGTCCCAATTTAGGGATATATCTAGGAATGTTGGATCACTTGAAGAATGGATGAAGGCTACAGTCATTGTGAAGCGATCCACCCCTCCTGCAGTTGGAAACAATATTTTAAAGTGTCTTCAACTAGATGACTATAAAATTCCCACCAGTGGATGGTTGATATGAGTTATTGATCTTGGTTTGCAAAAGCATATATATTACTATCAAGGTTTAAAATATCGATACAGGCCGATATGCCGGTAGGGGTGTATCAGCCTTTATTGAAGCTCGCCCACCTTTTTTTTTTCTTTGAAACTGGTTCAGAGGGGTCGGTCTAAGGCTGGTCTACCCCCTGAACCAGGTCATACCCTGATATGACCCCTGTAGGGGCATATCGTTAAGCCAATGATACGATATGATATGTGATGTTTCACTTAATAAATACATACACGTTGTTTCTATATATCCATCTTATATTAACATAATAGAGATTCATCCCCTAGTTTTTTGTAGGCCTATGAAATGTTGTTTTTATTTGCCTTTAATGTTTGATTTTCTCATATTTGTTCACTACACTTTTATTGTTTTTCTAGTTGCTACACTAACTAGAGAAACAAGATAATCATAAAAGAATAGGGAGACAAAACAAACTAAAAACAAGATCTTTTATATAAATAATCATGATCGATGCCCAGGAGACAAGGCACTCCATTGTCACCCAGCCTCAACTTAGAGCCTAACAACAATGGTGCAAGACACATTTGACAGTTGTGGCCTATGACCAAATATTTCTCTTATTTCTTTCCTAATCTCTGAGTTATACATATAAAGTTTCTTTATCAAATACCAGAATCTGAACTACCACTTACTTGATGATGTTGCTTTCTTGTTTTTCTTTTCTAGTGACAATAATGACAAATTTTCCTGTTGGTCATTTTCACCCAGCCTTCATCTGGAGCCATCAGATATTATTTTCCACAATATAACTAAACAGGTTTATCTGTAATTTCATTGTCCAGCTGGTCAGGAGAGATTCAGAACATTAACAAGCTCATACTATAGAGGAGCACAAGGGATCATAATGGGTACATTATTTTCTGTTCCTTGATATTTCTTGTACCTGTGGATAATGTAATTTATATTGTAATTATTATTCTTCTCATTATTTTTTATATCATTTGCATTGTTTTTCCTTTCATTTGTTTTTTATGTCAAAACTGCATTTCATGACCATTTTTTTTTGTTTATGATGTTTTCTGCATACATAAATTGGAAAATGGTTGCCATTTTCTCTGTTGTTTTTCTTTTTGTAGTGTTATATATTTCATAAATAGTAATTACATTATAACTCCTTACAGCCATAAGCCATTTGAGATTTTCTAAGTTTATCATAATACATAACATGTGTCTAGTGAATCAGGGATGGTTCAAAGTATCGATGTGTCTATTGACTCTATTTGAATGCTGATTTGTCGTAACTATATGAATCAAAATGCTAAACAGGACACCTAGTGGCTCTTATTTTGTTTTGTTGGAAAACCATATAAAACTGTTAGGAGATTTGGGATAAGATCAATTATGGTTCTAACAAAAAAAAAGTTGTTATTATGATAAGGATGAGATGGAGAGTTTGAGGTGGCCCAAGATAATTTAGGATAGAATTTAGATATTTTTTTATCTATACAAGAGTCTCTTACACTTCTCTGTTTAAGTTGTAATAATCTGATTATCTTAGTAATGCGATATTTTCAACCTTCTCTGATATTTCACATGGTATCAGAGCTGGAGGAGGTTTATCAAACTAGAGTTCTCTCAAAGTTCTTCCCATGTTTCCAGTGGGTGACCTGCATCTTTGCCACCCGTCGTGTGTAGTTTCATACTTAGCTCTATTCATTTATTTATTTCCATATCTTAAATTTATTTTGTGTTTATACTTAAAATAGTTATCTCCATATCTAACTCTTTTACTCATCCTCATCTGTGTGCGACACCCACCAATGCTCTCCTCTGCATCTGCAAAGACAACAACGACTTTCCAACTTTTTAACTAGTTTCTACTCTTTCTTAGACTCTTACAGCATAGCACCAGCACCGGCCTGAACATATCTCTCTCAAATTGCCATCTCTGGTAGAACAATAATCTGCATTATAAACCATTGTCATTCCTTCCTGGGAATATCACTACTTGAACAGAGTCACCCTGCAACAAATTTGGAGCTTTGGCAATGATCCATCTCTTCTTCATGGATCTCCTCTACTTCTTTTACAGTTTCATTCTCATACTCTTGTTCAATTTGGTCTCATAGGGCTCTGTTTGCAGAAGACACATCTATCAGCGGATGTCTGATCGATTGGAAGAGGTCTCACCATCAAAGACCCAATATTAGATGCCATTCTCCTCTTTGTTGCCCCTCTATCAACTTCTGCACAACACACCTCTTAAAACTAAATTGGACTCAAGCTCTTAGTCATCCATCGTTCTTCCTATCTTTCCTTCTCCTTAGTCTGCAAGCACTTTCTCTCTATCAATGCTTGTTCCTCTCATCATCATGTTCATGTTTGTGTTCGTTGTTTTTAGTTCACGATGATGGCTCCTGATCTATCAGGCAAGGATGCAGAGCCATTGTGGTGATTTGCTTGTTGTTGCTCTCAAGCTTTATTTCTTTGTCATTGTTATGCCAAAACCTTACAAATTTCTGTTTGCTCTTGGTCATTGATCATCAGTTGTCCATCTCTTGTCTTGTATTTGCTTCATCCATGACCCAACATGACAACAATAGGAACTTCTTTTACCATAGCTTGAAATTTGGTCCTTTTGTCACTGCTCAGCCTTCGTTTCTTCTGGTTTTTCGGGACTGACTAGAACACCTCTTCTCTACAAGATTTTGTGGCTGAAACCATCTCTCTTGGACATCCTCACTCGGGTTTTTCAATGGACTTTGCAAAAGGATATATGCTTCCATCCATTACTAGTGTTGGTGTTTTCTAATCTAGTCGATCCGTCAACATGATACTTTATAGTGTAAACCCACTTACACCAAATTGGTTCCTTTCCAGCTGGTAAGTCAATTATGTTCCAGGTATTATTTTTATAGAGTGCTTCTATTTCAGCCCTCATAGCATCTCCCCGTTTTGGTTTGGCTAGGGTTTCGATTATTGACGTTGGGATTGGTTGAGAGGAAATGGAGGCTAGAAAGGAATAGTAGAATGGAGACAATGGGCCGTAAGAAAGATGTTTGGAAATACAATAAGCCATACATTTCTGCTTACCTTTTCTCACAATAATGGGAATATCAAGGTCTGGAAATGGGGGTGTTGGTGGTAGAGGTGTCAGACGTATCCTCTCTTCAATGATCAGAAGTGCTTGAGACTTAACTAACTAGAGATGTAGGAACAACTTGTGTCTACCTTAATCTTTGCCGCTGGTACCACCTCTGGAGACTAGGATGAGTGGTAAAAATAGGAGGACTAGTAGGAGGGGGAGGAACAGGAATAGGAGATCTAGAAGGAGAGGAACCTTCCATGAGAGTGGGAATAACTATGGAAGGCTAAACACAAGACTCAACCGGAGCTGGCAAAGGAAGGGATGAAGAAAATAGTTCAGAATTCTTCCCCTCAAAAGGATGACTATAAAAGGGAATTGATTCTGCAAAGGTGACATCCATGGAAACAAATCGAGAACCACTAATGGGATCAAAACAACAATACCCTTTTTGTGTGTAGGCATAACCAAGGAAGATACACTTCTGAGCCTTGGGTTCAAACTTATGTCTCTTGGAACTAGGAATGTGGACATAACAAGTGCAACCAAAGACACAAAGAGGAATGAAGAATACCTCAACATTGGGAAAGAGGACACCAAAAGAGGATTTTATCTCCAAGACTCGGGAAGGCATAGGATTAATAAGATAAGTGGTTGTTAAAACTACATCACTCCAAAATTTCACAGGAACATGGGTAGCAAAAAGAATACTCCTTGCAACTTCCACAATATGTTTATTTTTCCTCTCTGCTATTCCATTTTGCTGTAGAGTATGCGCACAAGAACTCTGATGAACAACCCCAAATTTTTCAAAATAGGATAGGTTATCAAAATATTTCTTAGCATTGTTTGATCGAAATATTTTGATGCAAGTATCAAATTGAGTGAGGATACATTCGTGGAATTGTTGCACAAACACTTTATCCACAAGACTTGGGAAGATACGGTTAATAAGATAACTTGGTTGTTAAAACTGCATCACCCCGAAATTTCACAGGAACACAGGTAAAAAAAGATTACTCCTTGCAAGTTACACTATATGTCTATTTTTCCTCTCTACTACTACATTTTGTTGTAGAGTATGGGCACAAGAACTCTGATGAACAACCCCAAAATTTTCAAAATAGGAGGTAAGGTCCTTCTCAAAATATTCCCTAGCATTGCCATTGTCTGAATGGAATATTTTGATGCAAGTATCAAATTGAGTTAGGATATATTCATGGAATTGTTGCACAAGTTTAGGCTCTTAAGCACGAGAGCGCATAAAGTAGATTCGGGTATATCGTGAAAAAATCATCAATAAATAGGATAAAATATTTATGTCCACCCATACAAGGTAAATGGTAAGGCCTCCACAAATCGGAGTGAACAATATTAAAAGGAATAGTCAATCTTTTATTGCTTGTAGGATAAGTGTTCTTACAATGCTTTGAGAACTCACAATGTAGACTTGACAAACTTATTCCTTTAAATAGTTCTAGAAACAATTGATTCAATGAAGAAAAGGATAAATGGCCTAAACAATAATGACATAACATAACACAACTAGTGGACTTTGAAACAAAAGTAGCTCTTTGAGGTTGTACTTGGCTTTGCTCAAGCATGTCTAACAGATATATCCCATTCACCTCATGGTCACTCTCAATCACTTTCTGAGATTTCATGTCTTCAAAAACACAACATAAATGATAAAAGGTCAAACTACAATTCAAGGATTTAGTTAAATTACTAACTAAAAGCAAATTGGTGTTAAGTTTAAACACATAAAGAACAAATGATAAGGTCAAGGCATGTGAGGTCTTGATGCCTCCCTTTCCTGTAATAGGGGCAAGAGAGCTATTAACAAGGGATATTTTGTCCCGACTAGAAAGAAGCTGGTAAGAGGTGAACAAGTGTGAAGCACTAGTCATGTGGTTAGAGGCACCATAATCAATTTTCCAAGGGATTTTATAAGTACCTAAGATAGAAGCATGATTTGTTGTGGCATGAATACCTGAGTGTGCATATGTAGAGGAAGGAATGGTCTCTGATGAACTAGATGTTGTAGCAGTAGAGTCCAAATGATTACTGATTATTCGACCACTGCTAAGTAATTTTCCTGCATCCACTTTCATAGGTAGGGTCGTCCTCCTTTGGTTTTTTCTTGCTCCCAGTAATGTACCCCCATTTCTTTCTAGTACACACACATTTTAATTGATTGAGATCAGGATAAATAATTGGTTCCATCCAACTTCACAGTGGTCACTACCCTTAACAAAGTCTCCATAGACCCCCATGTCCAAACCTAGAATTTGTGGAATATTTGGTTTCTCCTCTAGTTTGCTTCATTGAATGAATGAATGCAAACGGAAATCAAATTAAGGATTTAGTAGGCTGGATTTGCTATTTCAAGCAAAGAATTGCTCTTCAATCACCCAAAACTAGGGTTTCACAGGACTTGCCAGGATGAGAGAAGGAGAGAAAGCTCAGTCACTCCTACCAAAGGTTTCAGAACTCTATCCAACATAAACAGCCCTTCATAGAAACCAAACAGCTCCCCTTTGATCCCCAAGTGCCAGCTTCAAAATGTCTCTAGGACCTATAACAAGATTTCTCTAGTTATATAAGGTTTTTGGGAAAAAAACTCCAAGAACCTGCCTTGGGCTTCAACTAAGGATGAAAGTCTCTACAAAACCTCTCCAAAAACCCTCCAAACTGGGCTACATAAGCTGCTAATTGATCAGCCAATCAGTTTTTCATACACACTGTGTATGGGCTAAGAAAGGAGAAAGATGTTGAAGGTGAGAACCTGCTCTGATACCAAGTTGTGAAATACACCTGCAGTAGTTCAGAAAAATATAGAAAAGAAAAGATTTCAGCAAGAGCTTGTGGAAGAAGAAGAAGAGAGGAAGAGAGTAGAAAAGATCTTTGATCCCTTCTCTAATCCCCTCAAGCTGTCTTTTATTTCTAAATCTAAAAATGGAGTACAGTTCCTTAGATGCCCTTAATAGGGCAGCCGACACTAAAGAATTAATAAAACAAACAAAGAAAAGGCCCATAACTAAAAGAGCATAAACTTAAACATAACTTAAAAGGAATAAAACCACTAAGGATTCAGCCCATTCTCACTACAGAGACATCTGCACATTGCAGCAGTTTTGTCAAACACATGCAGATCTGTGATCCCCATGTGTTAGGAAATTTGAGATAAGATCAAGTTGTTATTATGATAAGGATGAGATGGAGAGTTTGAGATAGGTCAAGATAATTTAGGATAGAATTTAGATTGAGTATTTATCTTTACAAGAGTATCTTACATTTCTCTATTTAATTTGTAATCTGATTATCATCCTTAGTAATGCAATGTTTTCAACCTTATATGATATTTCACATAGACTCTTGGTTCTGGATAACATGGTGGAAATAAACATAAATAATGGGCTTTCTATCAGTTGATTTCCGTTATTTAAACCACATATTTTATTTGATGATCTCAGAGGGTTTTAAGTGAAGTCTGTATATGGAGAAACAGCGAGCTTGAAGCTTATATTGATGTTTCTTTTCCAATTGCTTTGACTTTTGTAAACCCTCTAGTTACGGATGTCAGTGGATTGGTTTAAATGGTAAACTTACCTTGGGTTTCAGGTTGGGTTTGGTGTGGGTTGTTTGCATTGGTAGCATTGAAACATTTGCAAATATAGCCTTCACTTAGTGTAAGGGTACCATTTATGGGAGGAGCAGGTCGGCTTTGGTGTCCCATTCTATTTGGTGAGGTTGATTCAGGTTAGGGCTTAGCAAAAATAACATGCCGGACCCAATCCATTGACATCCCTTCCTCTAGTATTTGATTCTATAGAAATAAAGCCTAATTCTGTTTCCATGAAGAGAGAACAAATGGTGTTGAATTTCCCAATGTTTGAATCTGATGATTGCACCGAAAGCATAAGATTAAGTCCATAAATTGATATCAAGTGTCCATCCTTCAATTCTATCTATCTAGATGCGAAGAGGTTTCTCTATTTGATCTTTAGAGGTAACCCTTTTGCATGTATTCCCAACACTGCATCTTCTATATCTACAACTTTTATTGTTGTCTTTTTAAATCAACCAATTTGTGTAAGTATATACATTATTGAAATTAAAAAATTCTTGTGCAAAAACCTGTAACTGTGTTCTTTTCTTGGCAACCACAGTTTATGATGTGACACGGCGAGAAACATTCACAAACCTTTCTGATGTGTGGGCAAAGGAAATTGACCTCTATTCAACCAATCAAGATTGCATCAAGATGCTGGTTGGAAATAAAGTAGATAAGGTACTTCATAAGATATACTGATCCTTATGTTTTTACTGAGCCTTTGAGGGGCAAGTTCATAACAAGAATTCTTTGATTGATACCAAAGAAAGGAACTATAAGCAACTTTCTTTTGTTTCATGTGCATATTTTTTTACCAGGAAAGTGAAAGGGTCGTCACAAAGAAAGAGGGAACTGAATTTGCTAGAGAATATGGGTGCCTCTTTCTTGAATGTAGTGCTAAAACAAGAGTTAATGTTGAGCAATGCTTTGAGGAGCTTGTTTTGAAGGTATGTGCAATGCAAACTTCTTTTGTCTCTTTTTTCCATGATTGCATAAACATGCAATTTCTAGAATTTGCCTTTAAAACTTGATCAAGAACATCTATAAATCTTCCTGATTATTCTAGAATTTATAGATGTTCTTGATCAATTTAATTATGCTGAACATCATTTCATTAATGGAATTGAATACAAACCTTTACTTTCAAGGACAGCAAACAAGAACAACAGAACTCAAAGCTGGTACCCAACAAAAAACTACTAGGAAAACCTTCAAAAAGGGGTAAAAAACAGACAAAGCAAAAGCCATACAAATAATGGTCCCTATGTAAGTGCTGCATTACAATGATATGGTATCTCCTGATCCTCTCCCCCAGCAAGCCCCACAGCAATTAGGTCAGAAGATCTGAGTCCTGCTGAACAATAGGATCAACCTAAAAGACTAGGATCTTGCCTCTCTGATGATTTGATTAAACCAAGGTTCAAAATATCGAAACGCCCGATATGCCGGTATGGGTGTATCGGGTGAATCGATACTCCTTTTGGTGGTTTTTTTTTGCCAACTGGTTCAGGGGAGCCGGTTTAGGTCTTCGCCACACCCTGAACCGGTCAGACCACCGATACACCCACTGTAGGGGCGTATTGGTGAGGTGCTGGAATGATACGTATCGGCCGATACGTGTCGATACTTTGAACCTTGGATTAAACCTTAACCTCCAGGGGCCTTGGGAATAATTTTTTATACTTGCTTCAGATCTTGTTATGTCTTTGTTCTTTTGCTTGCTTCAGGATAAGGGGTTCTGTTTGGATTGATGTTGTCAGACTGGAACCAAGCCAGAGAATTGAACCAGTGGGCAGGTTACCTTTTTGGGTCCTATTAGTTGGGGTGCAACTTAGGCAGGCTTGGGTCGGGCTTTTGTCAAAATTTGAATGAGCTAGGGCCAACCCAAGTTGCACCCGTACCTGTTGGCACTTTGGTGGTTTCCATGGTCAGAATTTGTCAGTGGGACGGTTAAGCATTAAAACCCTGTCCCAATGACATCCAGTTTTGTTCAATTCAAGTCAGGCAACAATGGTTAGCCTATTTCTGCCTGACCATGCAAAACAGCCAAAATACATCATATTCATGTTATTTAATAAAATCTGTTTTAATTTCATATTCTATTCATACTCCAAATTAGGCCTTAATGTTTGCACCGAATAAATAGATAATTGCACTTCCTCATCAAACAATCATGCTTCAAAATTGAACTAGTGCCATAGACTACCTTGCTGCTAGAGTTTGAAGAATATGCATGACTTTTTTCCTTAGTTTAACAGGCGAGTAGGTGGAATTTATAGCCTGTGATGACGGTTGTGGTGATATGCAGATATTGGATACACCGAGTCTCTTGGCAGAGGGTTCAACAGGCGTGAAAAGAAACATCTTCAAACAAAAGCCTCCACAGCCTGATCCATCGGCCAGTACTTGTTGCTAACGCTTGTAGCTAACACAATTTACCATCCATGATTTCTCCCATCTCCACATCCGACAACAGTGGTTCCTGCAGTGATAGTTGTGGTGTTGGTGTGCATGACAGTTTATTACTTGGTCTATTGGTCACTTATATGTACTATTTGTTGAATGGGAAGCTGTAAATTTGTTTTAATAGTACACTTCGTTGTGATTTTGTGATCTCAGACTCTAGAACTATTATGACAAGGAAATGTTCTTATTCTTAGCTTCTTTATATTTTAGGCTTTTAGCAATGTGAAATGCTCTTCAAGGCGGTGTGGATTACCCCAATGAGTACTCAAATTGTTGTTTTGAAGTCTCCAACTTTTATGTTTGTCAAATTCGGATACAACCTTATTCGATTTGATAAATATTTGAATTTGATCGATTATTTAATTCTTATATATAATATATAAAATATTTAAATATTTTATATAATATATGTATAATAATTAAAATATTTATTTGATATATTTATTAATTACCTAAAACAATTAATCCGTCAAATTTAAATCAAATAAAGTATTCGAATTCAAACATTGATTTTTAATATCCATCCGATATTGAATCGAATTCGAATGAAGGGAGAGTATTCATTTGTACGAATTGATTATTGGATTCATATTTGTTCATTGGAGTCTAATTCAATGAAGGAAAATATAAGTTCATTCTGTTTATAACTGGATCAAATATAGATCCATCTCTTTTTGTTCTTATAATGCATATTTAATTAATAATCCTGATGAAGGTAGGATTCAATCCCTAAGTCTCTACAACCAACCAAAAACTTTTCCAACCATGATTTTGAGAAAATCGGACTGGACTAGATGGTCATACCAGTTAACTTAGGAATTGGTCATGGATCCCAATATGGTTTTAGGGCCTGTTCGTTTTCTCTTATCTCTTATCTCTTAAAGTGCAATCATACAACTTTTTGTTTTTCAACGATGCCCTCAAAAAGATAAACAAAAACTCTCATATATGGGGTAAAAATGGATATTTGATAATTTCCAGAATTTAGAATTCAAACAACATTCTCTGCATTCAGAGTTCAAAGGAAAGAAAAGTTCACCAATACCAATATACCTCAATGTAATTATTGCACTTTCAGATGTTAGACTTTAGAGCAAACGAGCAGACCCTTAGACCCCAAAACCGTCCATTGAGGTCTGAAATAGATAGTTCACCACTCCAATGTTTAACAAACATCCACTAAGACAAAGTATAAAGTTAATGGGTGATTTGTTGACTTTTGGTCTAGCACCAAGGTTCCAATCTTGTAGTTTTTATTAGGGGTGCAATTGAGTCGAGTCGAGCCGAACTTTGCAATGTCTTGGCTTGGCTTGACTACGGTACTAATAGGGTTGAATTCGAGCTCAAGTTTAGATCAAAAACTTGAAAATGAATATATATTTATATTATATATATATATATTGTAATACATAGTATATTCTTAAATTATATATAAAATATAAAAATATATTTTACACAAAAATATATTTTTATAATATATTATCAAATATATTTTTATATTCTATAATACATGTGTATGTATGCATGTATGTATGTGTGTGTTAATTGAGCCAACCTCATGAGCTTTTGAGCCAAAGTTTCTATTGGTTGAGCTCAAGCTTGAATAACTAATCAAGCTTACCTCAAGGTTTGAAATCGATTGGAACTCAATTAGAAACAAATTCCAATGACCCTAATTGAACTTGAGCCCAAAATAATTCGGTTAGAGTTTGATTCAATTGCAACCTTAGCTTTTATACCAAGAAATTATAGCTTATGGTAATCAAATAAATTTAAGGGATTTTGAGTAGCTACATGTAAGGAGTAATGCTAATTTGAATTTGGAGAGACTATTAAAAAAATAGCAATATTTTCTTAACTAATACTACAAGAGTACTGGTTCATATTTTGTGCCATGTATAATTGCCAAAAACCATTTTGTTTCTAAATTTAAATGACATTTTGCAAAATAAATAATGAAATTTGTTAATTTGACAAAATCATTGATGTTTAAAATGTAATGAAAATGAGTAAATCTATGATGCCGGGATGACATGATATTGGAAGAGCTTTGACCAATCAACCCAGTGGTGTATTTGACAACTATCACCTGATTGGTTACCACTTTTATGACATTAGTTGATTGGTTATAAGGTTTCTTGGTATCATGCCTTCATAGTATCATATTCAAACCCAATAACAAAACCTGAAAATGAAAATAAAATTTCTTCTTTAAATAAACACATTGGTAACCTACAATGCCCTTTCATTGATCTAATTGTCACAAAACCTATATCCTAAACTAGCCATTATATTATGATCCTTGGATATCACTTTGTAGAGCTCTGCTCCAAGCCTTCTCTTTAATTTATGAAGAAACCCCTTAAACTATCCCTATGTTTTAGAAATTGGATTATACACTCTACGTCTATGGTCTTCACTTCAAGAACTATTTCCTTAGGGTGATTAGTGAGAATGTAGTCATCTTCTATGAAGTATGCATTTATGTTGACAAAGATTTTTTTGCTCAGTCAAATCATAGAATAGGTACCCAATAAAAATTTTGGGGTAGCCTACAAATAGGCACTTCATTGTTCTAGATTCTAGTTTGTCAGTACTTACCTTTTTTACATGTGTTTGACAACTCCAAGTTTTCAAGTGTCAGACATTTAGTTTCTTATTGATCCAGAGCTCATAGGGAGTCTTTGGAATCGACTTGGTTGGAATCCAATTTAACAAATATATCTCAATTTCTAATGCATAACCCCAGAACGATATGAGTAACTCTAAGAAAATGAGTAAGGAAAAAACCCGTGTTTGATTCCTTCTTCAAATACACCATTTAGTTGTGGTGTAGCCAGAGGGGTTAACTGTGAAACAATTCCATTTTACCTAAGGTAGTCCCTAAATTCATCTAAGAGATATTCATCTCCTCGATCTATTTGATGGGCTTTGATCTTCCTGCCCAATTACTTCTTAACTTATTGTTTAAATTCCTTACACTTTTCAAAGGAATCAAATTTGTGTGGCATCCGGTATATGTACCCATACCGAGAAAAATCATCAATAAAGGTGATGAAGTAGACATATCCACCTTGTGCCCTTACGTTTATATTACCTATGGATCTTTGGGATTTTCTAGTAAATGGACATTTAGTAATTTTGCACTATAGGCATAGTTCATAATTTTACACATTTTTTAATTTTAAAATACCCAAAGGACCATTCTTAACAAATCTTGTGATTATTTCTTTGTTAATATGGTTAAGTCTGAAGTGCCATAAGTAGGTAGGGTTAACAGTTTCACAAATTCTTTTCATGAGAACGGTGGCTGTAATTTGTCCAATAACATTAGATTCTAAGGAAAGCTACAATATATAAAGACCATTCTCTATTTCTCCAACAACAATGATTTTGTTATTCAACTTAATGGTAATCTTATTATTGAAAAACAAGAATATCCATCACTACTAAGTTTAGAGATAGAAATTAAATTTCTTTTTAATTGTAAAATATAAAAACAATCTTTTATAAAAACTAAAACTCCCCCCTAAAAACTTACTCTACTATGCATATGGATGTAGTTTTAACATTTGATGACATCTCCATGTAAAGTACCACCTTGCTATTACTCACATTTTTTCTTTCTTTGAATCCTTGCAATGTGTTACACACATGAATAGATGCACCTAAGTCAATACACTAGGAAAAAGCAGAAGTAACCAACAAATTGAGTTTTATCACATAAGTTTCGGTTTTACCTTTGATAGGTTTTTTCTTAATGGATTCCATGTACTACAAGCAGTTTGCATGCAATAATGATACTTGTCGAATGATTTGTCTCTCTTATTCATTGGGGTGCCCCTGCTTCTTCTGAGGTTTTTTTTTTTTTGCTTATCTCTTCTTGCTTGTTATCCTTAATTAGCTCCTCTACCCTCTGTAACGTGTTGCTGAGTTCTTGCAAGGTAACTTTCATCTTATTCATATTGTAGTTCAACATGAATTGATTAAACGAAGCAGAGGAGGTAAGGATTGCATTAATTTTGGTCTCATCATCCAATTCAGCACCAAGAGACACCGATTCATTTATGTAACCAATCATATTCATGGTATGGTTGTGGACTGACATACTCTTAGTCATCTTTGTTGTCGTCAACTGTTTGAGGACCATTTGCCTGGTATAACGATTCTGCTTCACAAACATGTCTTTAGACTTTCGAGCATCTCCTTTGTAGTAGAGAGATTTTTATCTTGCTTTTAAAGTGATGCATTGATGGATGTGAGGATGTAACATTTTTCAAGAGAATTCTTATCTTGCTAGTCACTGTATGCTTTTCTTCTATGCTCAAAAGCATCCTCTCCAAGATCTTCAGGTGCATCCTTAGTCATAACCTTTTATAATTTCTTAGGCATAAGGAATGTATTTAGGTTGTGTTTCCAATCTACCTAGTTAGGTCCTTTGAGACTATAGTCGTCAAGCAATTTGTCAAGGGGACTAAGTGTCATTTCTAAGAGAAAGAACATCTAGTCAGTTTACGACCTTAATTCATGTTACCTAAGATGGGATTTTGTTTAAGTTTCACTCTCATTTATTCATCTTTGAGATTTCCCTCGTATCCATAAAAGGAGGCATTTTCACACCTCTAAGAGTGTAAGGAATTACATAGGTGCATAGGGTCAACTATTTTAATTGCACAATTCTGTCACTTCTATGAAGGATACCTCATCCATTCATCTAATGAACTTTCCTTTAGCTTCTATTGTACTAGGGTTCATTGTTATTTTAGGTTAAACCACTTCAATAGCTTAGTGTAAATCCATCACAAAGAAACACTAAAGGTTCCATGAAGAGTCTTCCATTTTAGGATAAACCTCTCCTATCAGTTTTTAATGTTGTGTCATCTTATGAAATGATCTAGGTGCATCCACAATCAAGTAGATACCCCCATTTTAAGATGCGTCTCCACTTAACATTTCAACTCACTATCTCACCAATGATGGAAGGCTTTTAAAGATGACTTCCTAAGTTCATCCCTATATGTAGCATTTATATAATCAGTGAGAAAACATTTAAATTTGCAGTCCCACCTGGTCTAGGGTTAGGTTAACTACGGTAACTCCCACTAGCCATCATAAGACTAGAATCCCTAAGTCCATATGGGTTAAGCGAATTGGATGATCCCTTTGGGAAGAATCTGAAATTGACTTAGTTTGGGAAGGAGATTATTTAATAAACCTTGGAATATGGTTGAGTTGGTTGGACCCCATGGAAC